TTGCATACGCAAGCAGAAGGTGCTTACATGGTCTTCCGGGTCAGTCGTGCCATTGTACGTCGGGAGGGTGGGTGTCGCCCCGTCAGGTTCTCCGCCATTATCTGCGCGCTCAATGGCTGGTGAAGGACCCTTTTGGGCGGGTTGGGTCGGTACTTGCGGAGACAGGTGTTGTTCTAAGAAGCTGAGGTCCGCCCGCTCCGGTGGTTTCGATTCCCGGCGTTTCGCACGCGGGAAGTTCCGTCGGCGCGTGTTGGGGTAGCTGGGCTGTCCCCGACGCTTCTCCCAAGGCTTGCTGAGGCGCCACCGCCAAGGCGTGTTGAGGCGCGTCCGCCGCCGCGCCTATCGTTTGCGCGCTCTCCCTGCTCATCATGAGCGCGATAACTTGGCTCATTTGTTTCTGCATGTCGGCTATGACGTTGTTTTGCTTCCTCACTAGATCCCTCATTTCTTTGGCCGTCAGCTCTGGCTCCTCTTCTTCGATGAGCACGGCGTTGAGGTTGCTGGCTTCCGCGAACGCCCTCGGGTCAGTCATTGCCTTGATCGGCGTTGCTTGGTCAGGCTGGTCGTGGTTGTGCTCTGCCATTGGGGGATTTTTCTTTAGCGTTTTCTTCTTGGCCCCACGGTGGGCACCAATTGTTTGAACCTAACTGAGTGTAGGAGTGAGGTTCGAGTGAGAGTTTGGGTCAAGAAGAAACGCGAACGTCGAGTTTGATCAAGAAGACAAGAATCAGAGAGTTGAGTGAGAACCGGAGTCCGAACTTTTAGAAAGAGAAGTAATTGTTATAGAGAGAGAATGGTGAAAAAATGCGATCCCCTCACCCACCGGAGTAAATGCCATATTTATAGGCTACATGGTGGTGGTGAGTGGGTGGACTTCGAGACGGTACAACGACGTGACTACTGATGTGTCAGGGATTTAGGCCATCCCCCAACCTAGGACTTGTCAGAGGGTTGTCTATGATTTGTACCTAAAAGTCTTGACGTGACCTTCCCTCGGGAGACACAATGACGCCCTCTCCGGCTCTTGAGTCTGGTTGCCGCCTTGTCTTCCCACTTGCGCGCATAGCCTTGCTCTTGCCGCGCGTGAGGTCTCGGCGCTGTCGGACGTGTCGCGCCCTCGCCGTGTCTGTTGCGGCACGCGGTTTGACATGCTCTTTTGGCGCGGGGGTGATCCGAGTCACATGCCCAACAGTAAACTAACCACATAACAAGCTCATACCCTCCCCCCGCCTCCACTCTAACAAAAAGAAAATATTAGCACAGGGGCGGAGCTAGGATTTAAAGTTCGGGGGGTCGGAATAACTTTGTACATTATCGCCAAAATGAAAGAAAAAAAGTAATGTATATAACAATATAACATTAATTTAAATAATCGAAAGCACTCAAAATAGAATTAATTTAAAGTTTTCTAGTATGCTATACTCAAAGTAAATGATTATACTAAGGAAAAAATGTATCATATAATGTACAATAGAATTAATTTAAAGTTTTCTAGTATGCTATACTCAAAGTAAATGATTATACTAAGGAAAAAATGTATCATATAAGAAAAAATGTATCATAAAGTTCGGGGGGCCGGAATAACTTTGTACATTATCTCCAAAATGAAAGAAAAAAAGTAATGTATATAACAATATAACATTAATTTAAATAATTGAAAGCACTCAAAATAGAATTAATTTAAAGTTTTCCAGTATGTTATACTCAAAGTAAATGATTATACTAAGGAAAAAATGTATCATATCATTTTTTTCAATTTTATTATGCATTGAATATGATTTTATGATTATATTAATGTTTGTAAAAATTAATTAATTAAATATAAAAAAATTCCTGAAGTTCAAGAACTCGAATGAGGTTATTTAAAATTATAGGATATATAAGACAAGCAGGAAAATTAAAGGATTGAACTGGAAAAAAACACTAATAAAATAGTAAGGTAAAACTGCAGACTACCAGGATCGAACTAGTGACCATGTAGTTGCAAGTAGGTGTCAACTCCGCTAGACTGTAAATTTGCCTTGGTAACAATTTGTCAATCGGATTGTATCTATATTCACATTAGTTTATACATAATTTTTGAAATTTCCTACGACTTTATACGTAAGTTTCAAAATTCTCGGAGGGCTGAGGCCCCCTCGAGAGCCTACATAGCTCCGCCCCTGTATTAGCATACTACCCCTTCTTATCTAGTCAGGGTGGTAATACAATTGTTCTTAAACTTGGAGGTTCCAATTTTAAATTACTTAGATACCACCTGATTTAACAACAAAGTTCTATATCACTCTTATAAAAAATTTCACCTCGTCTATTTTACCTTAATGCAATGCAATCATCAATGTCGAAGGATGCAATAAAAGTTGCGACTTGGATCGATCAAGACTATTGCTTAGCAATTAGCATCTAAGTAGGATGTAATTAGTTATATCTGTAAAAAAATTCAATAAGAGCTATCTCTCAAACTACTCCGAGACCAAGTAAAAAAATTGCTAATGTCTATTCTTTCTTCAAACCTTTTTCAAATTCTTTTATATTATTCAAACCTATTAAAATACTAAGAATTAGCTAAATGAGAACTTCCAGTTAGCAATTTTGTTAGTAATATTGACTTGGCCACATGATACTCACTTGGAAGAGACACATGAAGGTCTACATTCCAAAATTTTAGTAATTTCACCAAGAAAAAAATTATAAAATTATTAAGTAATAACGTAAAAATGGCTAATACTTTGATGCATTACGAAAGATTTGGCTAATTAATAGCATTTTAATAGATTTGGATAATACAAAAGAATGTGAAAAAAAGTTTGGATAAAAAATATACACATTACCCTAAGAAAAAATTGAAACCTTAATTTCCCCTCTATATCAGAGTTGCAAACAAGTCGAGTTTTCGTTAGACTCAAACTCTTTTCATTTATAAATTACTTGACTCGAATTTGAACTGAGATAATCTAACTCGAGCTCGACTCAACTAATGAAAATTATCCAATGTTCAATAACAAAGCCTATCATATCAAGCTAAACACAAGCTTGTTTGTCCCAATAATCTCTACAACCGACTCAAAATTAATGTTTATAAAACCGTCCTGGAACTAAACTAACCCAATTGGCTCAATACCAATTTCATAACAACCTTCAAACCAATAAACTACTACTCCAAACAAATCTTAAGCATTTTACATAATGATAGCAATGAGGCGGAGCGAGGACAGGTACATCAATACTCATTCCTCGCTCCACGTTACTGCGGATCGAGGCGGGTAAAAACTTGCGCAGGTACGGAGTGGGACGGGTCGACCCACTTTTACATGTTATTTTATAAAAAAACACGCAAAATTTACTTTTTACGATAAAATGAAGGGGAAAACACTTTATGAATGAAAAATAGTGAATATAATGGTAATTGAGTCTAACAAATTGAAGATCGACCTCTAACTAATTGAAGAAAAGTCAAAATAAAATAAATATGTATAAATATTGTAAGAAAGTGAGATAAAATAATTAAAGAACATGACGAGCCTGAAGTAGATATTCATACCCCGTCTCATGCTACTGCCGAGTTGGGTAAATACCCGCTACATCACGAGTCAGGTCGAATAATATCGAGACAGGTTCAATTGCCATCAGCCCATCACCAATTTTACAGATGATTTGTCCTACTAAAGAGAGGATTATAATGGGAAAGAGGCTCCCAAAAATCCTCATCATCTTCTTACATGTGCCCTTCACATGGCTTCTCTTCTTTTGTTATTTTTGGTGTGATTTGGGGGGAATCTTTCATCTCTTCTATTGTGGACTGGGACTTGATTGATTATCCATTTTAATGCAGGAGGACTAAGGACATGATTGATTACTTTGATTCTGAGTTATTTATCAGTGCCTTTATTATCCAGTTTAGTTTATTAATGCGATTTGGTTATTGGACTGATATTTTCTGGAAAAAGGGGATAATTTTTAGGTGTGTAAAAGTTGGTATCTTTTGCTTGAGAAGGGGAAAGGGTAGTGGAAGAACAAGAAAGTGAAGTTCTCCATAATTGCAGTGAAGAAGATAGATACAATTTTGTTAATAACTGGTAAGTGCACTAGCTAGTGGTCACTATCTGTTTGTTTTCATGATTAGCATAGTTATATTCATTTAATCTTCACTTATATGACTTTCCTTTTTTTGGTTTGGATAATAAGATGACTCATTGAGATTGTTTTTTTAACAAAGAAAATGAATAGAAAGGCAAACCAAACCAGATTGTTTAGATTCCGCATATTACAACTATAATACGAGAGTTTATAAGTAGAGAGCAACCTCTATTAGTAGGTAGTTCGAGCAGTTTGGTTCCGTTCTCTAAAAATGTCAGATATAATTAAAATTCCATGTTCAGTTTTAAATTGATATGGAAGATATGGATGCCTGTAGCTTGTAGCTGTAGCCCGCAACTCATTTTCTCGATTGTCTGTGAGGTTGGCTACAATTTTGTTTGATAAGTCAGTGCAACGAAAAGTCTAACACATCAATAGTCCTCAATTTGTTGCTTTTGATTTCCATTTTAGTGATTTTAGTTTTGACAAATTTGTACACATTGATTGAAGGCCTCCATATAACTTTTATTGTTCGAAAACCGTTAATCTCTTGGCAAAAATCAAGCCATCAACACCGACGGACAACCAGTCTATTGAGAAACACATGGAGCCAGCAAGGGGGTTGAACTAATTGGGGGGAACAAGAAAGAAATAACCCTTTTATTTTGTTTTATAAAAACAAGAAAAGAATTTTTCTTTGACTATTTAAAATTAAAACAGAAAGAATGGTTGACATATGATATAAGAAAATAGAGATAAATATATATATATATATATATATTTATTTTATGAATGATATATAAAATTTGACTAGTATAAGAAATGAAAGGAGATAGACCTTTTTTATGGTTAAAACTTAAAAGACATTGAAATCAAAGACCGTATCGACAATTCAACCAGAAAATACCAATGACAAAATGAATTAGCAATATTCAAAGATACAAAACACAATTTTAATATAAGATATCCTATCACAAAACTTTTTGGTAATGCATTTCAAAGCTTACTGAAATTAAAATCGACGCGCTGACGCGCTGATGGCCGTGTGTGGATGCAAGCAGAGCAAGTGATGGAGGAGAAGTGCGCTTCTTCTAATCAAAATGACAGCTTCAGATTTGCTGTTTCCCATCGGTGACACGTGGCTGGCTAACCGTGTTCCCTACTTTGCCGACCTTTCTTCGTCCTCACATGAACCGACGGTGACGGGAACAGAAAACGAAAGGAAGATGGTTTGGGCTATTCCCAAAACTGGATCCCACGGTCTTCTTTCTGGCGGCCCAAGTAACACAGTCTGATTTTGGCCCAGCGGTATGGAGGGGCAGAAACGAAGAAGCAGACATCTGAGAGAGCCAAAGCTAGAGAATTATACAACACTGGTGCACAATGTCCATGAGTTGCTCTATATTCTATAACATGAACAATGAGAGCCAGATCGATCATCTCCAATAACATACGCCATCACTCGAGAGCTCTGATATTACACAACAACGACGTGGTATGTTCAGAAGTCGATCGATCTCTCACCTCGCGCACGCAGGATAAAATGGTAAACGACAGAGAGGCCATCTCGCGCTGGACTCGTGGAATGTTTTCTTATGTATTCACTTGACGTGCTTAGCAAACCACTCCAACGCGTCGTTATGAGCCTCCACTGCAGCTTTTACCTCGGCTTCGTCTTCAGCTTTGTACCCTCACTGTCCATCCATGAGCAACTCCAGGGAATATCTTTACAAATCCATCAAACTGCGCCAAAATATGTTGAAACCATGTTGAGAGCTGGTCCATTTGCCAAACTACCCCTGAACCAGAACACATCCACAGATGTAAATAGTTTTCTCTTACCTCAGGCTTAGTAGCCAGGACCTCTTCAAACTGTTTCACTAGAGCTGGTGGCGAAAGGTGGTCGAACTCAGCTCCAAGTACAGCAAGAGGAGCCTTCACCTCTGCAAAAGAAAAACAGAACTTTAGTTAAAAATCAGCTGATCGAGCAACAGGGCAACCATCGTATCACAAGTACCAGAAAACTGCTAGGAGACAGAGGTCAGGCACTTTGGAAGTCTAATTGGTTACCTTTTATGTCATCAACTGTGACAAATGAAGGATGCAACAGCACACCAGCATTAATGTGGGCGAGTTCAACCACAACCTTGGCTGAGAAGATTGAGCAAAAGCTCATATTAGGAAGAGCAAGCTCAAATTGCGCGAAAAGGCTAGTTCGACTTCCATCAACTTGTCTAAGTTTTATCTATAAACCATGACAGCAAAAAAAAACAAGCTAATTAGAACCACATAGATGTCTGAAATCATACCACCCCAGCAAAAGCCTGCAGCTCCAATTGCAGATACGCCTTTATTCTTCAGACTTTCAATGACAGCCTTCGCATCTTCAAATCCCTTATACTGTTTATGAAGTAGCAGTGAAGCAAAAAGGCACATGTAGTTATCAAAACTGTAATAGTTCCCAATCCAAGTTTCAATTTCAAATGTTCCAACTTGGCTAAACAGTTGTGAGAAAAAACGGATTCTTTGTCATAAGGGAAGATGCATTCACAACGAGTGGAATGAGATATCAGTAGATACCGGCAGAAAGAATCTAGTGAGAGCGTTGATTTTAACAAGCAACAATAGGGTCAAAATTGGCACATAACTAGCGAAATCATTGACACACCATAAGACTATAAGCACCAAAAGAAGGTTAAAGCTTCCAGAATACACAAAAACACGAAAAACCCTAGAAGCAATGATAAATTACTACACCAATCGAACACCTAAATGTCAACTATATCATGAACTCGGTATGATTTCGGCCAGAAGATGCTAGCAATTTGGGGAGGAAGATACCTTAAGATTGGAGCTTCATATCCTGCAATCAGAAGAAGAAGAAAAGAGAGATCACAAAAACGGAAAATCGAAGAGAGAAAGATCAATTAAGAATGACGGCGGAGTTGGAAGTGGGGGGGGGAGCCGGTGACATAGGAGTCGAGGTGGCCGACTTTCTCTACATGGCCAGCTCCGGCACCTGGGTTCAGCGCCGGAGGGTTTTCGATAGCACTGTGGTCCTGACATCGCTCTCTTCTCTCCGTTCTTTCTTTCGCCGGGAAATTCCGAAATGCTGGTGGGCTCGGCTGTCTGGATCTGGAAGCTCCCCGCAAATACCTTACTACGTCTAGTCTAGTGTCTACTAGCGGCCTCTGGATTGGTTTATGACGGCGAAGAATGCCACGTTTATGTGTTTGCTACGCGGAAATGAGAATATGCCAAAAAACGGGAGGGAATTGGGCTCACATTTTAAGAGGCGGCCCATGGCTCGTGGGCTGCAGCCCTTTTGGCATTGGATCGTTTGCCTCCGGACATGCTAGGCTTGTGTTCCACATTTCCAATCTGGTTATGCAGTAGATAGGAGAACGAGATGCAAAGAGGTTGAGACTGCAAAACGATTTTTCTGCATCAACTACGAAGTTGGTTTTAGATAAAAATCAGCGAAGTAAAGAGGAAGGGGAACGTTCATGTTTCTTTTGGTTGCTTGTTTAACAAATTTTAGCCAATATGATTAGTTGTGTAATTAAATGGGAATTAAGTTACAGGTAAGAAAATTTAAATAGAAATGGTAAATAAATAACCCGACTAAAAACGATATAGTCATCTTACGCAAATAACATTATTATAATTTTCAAGCATCCTTATTCATAAATTTTCCTTTTATCAACGGAATTCAAAATAAATTATACTCCCTCGAAGGGAGTTGGTAAAGGCAGGACACTCGATCAAGAGTACTCTAATCTTTCGTGAGCTTAAGCATATCCAGAAAAGAAATCCCATTCAGTCCCTGCCTGTAAGACTGGGCAACGAAATCTTGAATCGTAGTCTTCTTGTATCTGGGAGGATTCTCTTCCGACAACAACTCTTCAATCGGTCCATAGATTCTCGAACCCAGCGTGAATCCAACACCGAAAAACGCGATAATGGAAACCCTCGGCCCAGCATTTTTCACCAGCACCCTGTGCTTCACGCTCGTAAAGTTATCGTTGGACATCACCTAAGATCAAACCAACACGCACGTATGTCAGACTCACTCGACATAACATAAACAAAGCGAAATCACCAATTTTCAAAAGAATCGAAACAAACTTATGGGAATTCATTTATAACCTGAAGCAGATTCGCGATGTTGATCACCAACCCATCCGCCATGGGAGGCACATCAACCCAATGGTCCTTGTGAAGAACTTGAAGGCCTCCAACATCGTCCTGTACAAGAACAGAGATGAATCCGATGTCGGCATGTTGAGTAGTTCCCAAAGTAAGCTCAGGTTGAGGGCAAGCTGGGTAGTAATTGTACACTACGTTCACTCCTTCCGCACAACCCATTTCTTTCAAGTAATTCGACTTCAGACCTAGAGCCTCGGACAGCAACTCGAAGAGCGAGTCTCCGATTTTCAGCATCTCCGACGAGTACTCTGTTACGACGTCCCTGCAGGAAGTCGGCAGCTCCTCCGGCGCCGGCGGGTTTGGTGCCATTTGGAACATGACGGCGTCCCTCCAGTTGGCGGATGAGGAAGTGTATAAGTCCAAGTTGCTGTGGTAGACGACCTTTTTCCTCATGTCGCGGCCGTAGTATTGCTTCTTTTCCTCCACATCCAGGTTGAAGAATCTATTGCAAATGAATTGATGAAATCATAACTAAAATCAAAAGGGCGATGAAATGAGGTATCTTACTGTACAAAAGTAGGATAAGATTGATTATTGAATCTACCGTTATTGGAATCAACTGGTTATGACAGAATATCCACCATGTGGTCGTACGTTAGAATCTCCAGAATTCCCAATATAAACATTTTGTTACATCACAAGATATGATGGGACTTTGCAGTTTGCAGACTTCAAGGCCATGAGGTGGTGTGTTAATAGAAAATGGCATAAGATCCATACTTAACTTTCTCCCAAGTCCCAACAACTATAGTTATTGGATTCAACTTAGAGGTTTTGCTATGAGTTTGAATCCAGAACTACGCTCAATTAGTATGAATGAGGCCGTAAAGATCAAAAGAAGAAAAAAACGATAATATCTGCAAACACAATTTTTTTTAATATTTTTAATCGTTGAGAACTATTCAACTATAATTCTACAAATTTATGAATGATTTTACTTGTGATTAGGTATTAAATAAGCTATTAATAATTTGAATTTGAAATGTGTTTGACCCATCTAGCTCCGGATCGAACAATGATATTTGTTGGTGTGGGTTGACTCGTCTTCCGTTCGTCCGATCTCGTCGGGAGGGAGAGAACCTGTGAAAGAGCCGGGTTGCCCCCGGATTAAGCTCCGACGAGCAAGTCAGATGTCGGTTTGTGGAGAGAGTTGAGAGAAAGAGATAGAGAGATAAAGTGTAGAGAGATAGTAGGGAGTGAAAAGTGAGGAGAGAGAGCCGTCTCTTCTTTGGAGGGCTTCAAGCCCTTATATACCTGTAGCGGGTATCGTGCGTTGGGCATCGCCGATTATGCGCCCTACTGCTTAGTCTGTGCGCTCCGTCCCTTAGTCACACCCCCAACAATTGCCCCCCAAGCTGGTGGTGAGTTTTAACTCATCGCTAGCTTATACTTTATTTTTTAAATCTTTGTCGGTAATTTTGGGTGGGGCCTATGTACCCCAGTTGCCCCCCAGCTGGCGCGTTTGAGTGACGCGGTGCCAGCTTTTTGCGTCTTGCCCCCCATTAGCGCCATCAACGCTTAGGATAGTAAAAATATTTTAAAAATTTAATAATGATGGAGGGATAGAGTACTTAGCTTTATATTGGCAGTGGCGGCAGGAGTAGTTGAAAGGCAGGCGCTGCGCCATTGAAACAGAACCTGGGTGGTAGCCTGCAGGTTGTTCTTTCGAACTGGGCGCGAATAGTGCTGGACTATTGCTAAGTTTTGTTCTTTCGAACCATGTCCTTTTGTTTTTTTGCGCGAATAGTGTTGGACTTTTGTTGTCTTTTTTTTTTTTTTTTTTTTTTTTTTTTTTTTGTTCTTTCGAACTGGGCGCGAATAGTGCTGGACTATTGCTAAGTTTTGTTCTTTCGAACCATGTCCTTTTGCGCGAATAGTGCTGGACTATTGCTAATTTTTGTTCTTTCGAACCATGTCCTTTTTGCGCGAATAGTGCTGGACTATTGCTAATTTTTGTTCTTTCGAACCATGTCCTTTTGCGCGAATAGTGCTGGACTATTGCTAATTTTTGTTCTTTCGAACCATGTCCTTTTGCGCGAATGTTAAAATTCAGGCGCCACACCGTTGAAACACAAGGTGCTTGTGGCCTGCTGGTAAGGATGCTTACCTGTCGGAGGAGTGGCGCGGGTTCGAGTCCTCGTGGCGATGATATTTTTGGGAGAGTGCTGAACAGTTGAATGCACGCGCGAGTTGGGCCGCGAATTGGGCTTGCGCGCGTCGCGGGCTGGTGATGCGGGCCGGACGCGAGTTGGGCTTGCACGCGTCGCGGGCTGGGGGAAGGCGCTGCGATGCTTGTGTCGCGAGTTGGTGATGGCGCGGGTTCATTAATATGAGAGTACTGCGCCCAAGGATCACCAAGCGCATCTGTAGTCTGTTGGTGATATGGCTTGTCTGGCTGAAGAGTGAACGCGGGTTCGATTCCTCTTGGCGGCGACATTTTTTATGAGCTTCTTCTGGGACGCATAAGTGGGCCGCGAGTGGTGGTTGAGGCGGAAGGTGGCCCAGAGACTGGGACGCATAAGTGGGCCGCGAGTGGTGGTTGAGGCGTGGGCTTGAGGCGGAAGGTGGCCCAGAGACGCAGCTGAAGGTGGAGCGGGCCGCGGGTGGGCTTGAGGCGGAAGTTGGACCGGGTGGCGCACGCCTGAGCGGTGATGGGCCCATCTGGCGCGAGTGGGCCGGGTGACGCGAGCTGAAGGGTGGAGCGGGACGTGAGACGCGGGGTGGGCCGTGAGTGGAATCAGGCCCATGAAGTAGGCGGAGAGACCATCTTGGACGCGTTTCTTTTTTTTTTTTTTTTTTTTTTTTTTTTCGTTATTTGAAATTGCAGTGCGCCGGCAGAACACCACTTCTCCGGTTGCGCGGCAGCCTGGGAAAGCAGAGGTCGGGGCTGACAGAGTGTCCTGTCGCGCTGGGAGTGCTGGTGGTGGAGTTGGTGTTGGCGGCGAGGAGGGCAGAGCTGATTTGGCCGCACCTGGCCTTGGCCATTAGCGGCGGGGCGATACGAGACGGAGGCCGGGGGAATGGTTACGTCAATGGCTCCGGTGAGGGAGACATGATGATCCACATGCGTGCTGCTCTTCAAATCGGAGCTCAACGAAGAGGAAGTGCTGATCGAGAGGGAGCTTGCCGGAGCGCTGGCCTTCGAAGGAGAGGAATAGAGGATGCTCTTGTGGAGCGCGTCGTGGTAATCGTGGGCGGAGAATCTGAATAGTGGCCGCATTCTTTTCTTTCTGAAGCTTTTCCAGGCTGGCCTCCACTTGTGCCCAGTTGCCTCGAAGACGCTGCCTGTCCTTTCATTCTGACAGAGAGAGCAAGTGGTCTCGTCAACTGTTCCCTCTCTTTCCTTCACCGGGCTACTGTCTGTAGGGAGAGGAGGTGAGGTTGACTGCGACTGGTTCCTTCTTTTCTCATCGGAGACAAGGCGCCGGTCTTAACTCCGGTCAAAAAGGTCGCCGGAATCTTACGACGATTTTGTTGCCGTCGTCGGGGTGGTGAAGACCGCCGACCACCCGCCTAATCCGTCGGGTACAACCCGATTCAGCTGGCCAATGATTTCAGTACGGATAGAGGAAGAATCCATGGCGGAGAGCATGAAAACGGAGACGCCGAGAATGCAGATGAGGGTGATGGAGAGGATCCATTTTCTTTTACACGGCTGGCCTTCAAGGAATTTGGCAGCTGCTGTGGCGCTTAGTTGGTGGAGAAGATTTCGAGCTCTTCCCAAAAACAATCAGATCTGGATTTTTTTTTTTTTTAATATGTTGACCCAACTCTTTCTTCGGCCTCCATCCCTCAGAAATCAAACGAACAGATGTTGAAATCAGCCCCACGGTGGGCGCCAATTGTTTGACCCATCTAGCTCCGGATCGAACAATGATATTTGTTGGTGTGGGTTGACTCGTCTTCCGTTCGTCCGATCTCGTCGGGAGGGAGAGAACCTGTGAAAGAGCCGGGGTTGCCCCCCGGATTAAGCTCCGACGAG